CGGTCCTGAACCCACCCACTGAACTGAGTCTTCAAGTGCAATTTAGCCCAGTGCATTCAATACGTAATGTTAAGGACCGGGGGTTACAGTTTTTAGCCAACATTCGTTCATTCATTCCCTCAGACATTCCAGAAACCCAGCAGTCCTCAACTGCTCTATGCCCATCTCCCTGCATAGCTGTGTAGGTTAAATCAGGTTGTGAAGGTAGAACCGCCCACGGAGGGCTGCGTGATGCATCGTGGGCTGGGTGAACCTGGCTTCCCAATTATCAGCGACAAGCCTCCCCCGCCCACTCGCTGCCAGGCATCCAGGTGAGTCACTGACAGGCCATCTCCGTCTTCCAACTCCTCTAGGTGCACCTGTTTAGAAAGGACAGAGCCGTCAGCCCCGCAGGACTCTGAGCATCTTACTGCTTTGCCTGGAAACCCTCAATTGTCTTCCAGATAAAGTCCGGACTTCTGAGTATGGCCTTCAAGGCCCTCTATGACCCAGTTCAACGGCTCTGACACTCTCCTTCCTTTTGGCTGGCCTCCCTTCTGGCTGGTGGAGCTGCTCCCTAGCTCCCAGACTTGTCCTGGAGGGCTGGACATTGGCAAGGCTCCCTAGTCTTAGCTTCTGTCCCTGCAGGTCTGTGCCCTCGGCATCCCTGCCTCCAGCCCCTCTGAGGGGCGTTGGTGAGAGCCTTTGTGGCTGGGCTTGGCGCTTCATCTTAGGCCCCTCTGGCCGGGCCGTCACTGAGGGTACTTTGAAGATGGACCCATTTCTGTCTCCCGTGTCGTCCAAGAGTGTTGGATAATAGCACAGTTGTGCCCTCCGGGAGCTGGGGGGCAGAAGCTGCTGATGTGAACCGATCCCCGGAAGTCTGGGGGTGGTTTCTGTTTCCCCCCTGTCTACACATGGTCCTTTTGTCTGTCCGGTACTGGATGTGGCTGTCTGCGTGGGACCTGGAACCAGAGAGAGAGAAAGAGAGAGACAAGCATTTGCCTTAGGGCTAGCCTGGGAAGAGCTTGGTGTCCATCGGACCTGGGACCCATGCTGTGCTCCCTCCCAGCGCATGGGGCCGTCTGCTTTCAGCCATCTCCACCTCCGTGTGAGTAAGGGTCCTTTCAGCCAGTCCCGTAGGAAATAAAGTCAAGGTTACACTGTTAGGGAGAGCATGAATTTTTCAGATGGACCCAGCTGAGGTTTGGGAAGGAACGGAATGCCGGTCGGGAGCGTGGGTCCAAGTGTAGACACTTCTGGAGGGTATCAGCAGCAGGGCCAAGTGAAGGACCCCTTCCCCTGACCCGACCCACCCTCGCTCATCGGAGAGACCCAGCTGCAGACATGAAGGCCAGAACCTGCCCTCTTCTGATTTTAAATTTTCCAATAGCCTCACAAAATAAAGAAAATGTAAGTAAAATTAATTCTGATCATATGCTCTATTTAACTGACTATACCTAAAATATCATCTGAACATGTAATTGATATAAAAGTTATGGAGATGTTCTACATTTCTTTTATTGTACCGAGTCTTAAAATTGGCATGGGCAACAAATATCATATGACCCAGCAATACCACCTCTGGATATTGATCTGAAGGAAACAAGAATGCTACTTTGAAAAGACATCTGGGGGCGCCTGGGTGGCTCAGTCATTAAGTGTCTGCCTTCGGCTCAGGTCATGATCCCAGGGTCCTGGGATCGAGCCCCACATCGGGCTCCCCGCTCAGCGGGAAGCCTGCTTCTCCCTCTCCCACTCCGCCTGCTTGAGTTCCCTCTCTCGCTGTGTCTCTGTCAAATAAAGTGCACCCCGTGTTCTTTGCAGCATTATTTACAATTGCTATGACAGAGAAGCAACCTATGTAGCCATCAAGGAGGAACAGACAAAGAAAATGTTATATATATATATAAACACACACACACACACACACAATGGAATGTTATTCAGCCATAAAAAAGAAAGGAATTCCTGCTATTTGCAATGACACGGATGGACCTTGAGGCCGTTATGCTTAGTGAGATAAGTCAGACAGAGAAAGACAAATACTGTATGACCTCACTTACATGTGAAATCTAAATAAATAAATAAACCCAAGCTCACAGATACAGGGGACAGAGGTGGGGTGAAATGGGGGAAGGGGGTCAAAAGGTACAAACTTCCAGTTCTAAGATAAATGAGCCCCGGTGACGTCACGTATGGCTCGGTCACCCCAGTTAACAATGCCATATGGTCTATTTAGAAGTTGCTAAGAGAGCAGATCTTAAAAGTTCTCATCACCACAGAAAAGGTTGTCACTGTAGCCGGTGATGGATCGTTAATCCCACTTACTGTGGTGACGACAATATGTACAAATATCAAGTTATCATCTTGTGCCCCTGAAACTAAAACAATGTTATATGTCAATTACACTAAAACAAACGAACGAACGAACAAACAAAACTGGCGGAAGTTACATTTAAAGCACATCTCAATTTAGACTGGTTGCATTTCGAGAGCTCAGTAGCCACGTGGGGTGGAC